ACAGAGCCCCTGGGGGCAGGCCCTGGGCCTTCCCCATCGCCCTGCTGCCCCCCCCCCCCCCCCTCACCGCTCCTTCTGCCTCCCACCTGGGATCTTGAGGTTGAGGTCACAGGTGCTGCCGATGGTGGCAATGGACGGCGCCTGCCTGCGCCGGGTGATGCTTTCCTTCATGCGGCCCTCGCCGGTAACCTTCACCGTGAAGGGGCTTCCTGTAGGGGAGAAAGGGAGGGTCGGGCGTCTCAGATCACTCGGCGCTGGTCTCCTGGCCTGTCCCGGCAGCAGCCCAGCGCCTTACCAGGCACGTGCTTGTCGGCAAACTTGATGTTGATGATGTAGGTGCCGGGTTCCGTGGGGCAGTAGGTAACTTTGCATGTGCCGTCCTCCATATCCTCACAGTTGATGTCCACCTTGCTAGGGCCTTCAATACTCAGCCCCAGGCCCCCATAACCTAGCGGGGAACAAGGGACACGTCTCCCTCAGTCCCCACTGCTGTTCTGCTCTCCCCTCCCCAAACTGCAGGCTCCGTCCAGAACAGGCACCCAAGGTGTATCAACCACTAACAAAAGATGCCTCGGCAGGAGGAGAAGGGGTGAGCCAGGCACTGACCCACAGGGTCGGGGATAGGTAGTCTGGAAAATTCCTAAGGCAGGCCTCCTGGGTTCTAGTGAGCAAGGGAGAGACAAACTCAGTAAAGCTGAGCTTTCTCTGAAACATGGGAGAAGTGACGAGGGGACATTCACTCTCCCCGAAGGGGCCCCAGAATGTGAATCTCAGCAGAGACTGGGCCAGGAAGTTCAGGGAGGAGTGTATGGCCAAGGGGCACTGGGCAGGAAAGGACTAGTCGTCACTGGCGGCACCAGCTGAAATGAGGGGTCTCTGGGGCAAGAATCACCTGCATTACGAGTGTCCACGATGAACTCGGCCACCTGGAACGTGTGTCCCTCGGACAGGCCCTTGCCCCAGACCCGCACCTTGCTGGCATCCCCGATCTCAGACGGTCCCACCAGGATCTTGAAGGGGCTGTTGGTGACGTGCTTGCCGCTCTTGCGCACGCTCACCACGTGCTCCCCAACCTCCTTGGGGGTGAAGGAGATGCCTGTTGGGAGGGAGGTCAGGCATGAATGGAGCCCTGGGCCTGGCAGTGTTCCTTTGCAGCTGCCCCCACCTTCCTCGCCCCCCGCCACCCCGCCGGGCCCCTCCCATGGCCCCCGTGCTCACCAATGTGCCGGTTGGGCAGGCGCTTCAGCAGGCAGGGCTCCTCGTTGCCCGAGGGGGCGCGGATGCTGGCGGTCAGCAGGCTCAGGTCACTCTCGGTGATCTTCAGTGACACATCCGTGGAGGTGCCCACGTTCAGCTGTGACGTCCTCATCGAGTCATCGCCTGGGGGAGAGTTGGCATGTCAGGCAGTGTGACTCCAGGCAGGCCCTGCCCTCATGGAGATCAGGAGACTTCCTGGCAGGCCCTGCTGGACTCAACAGAGACCGGGGACCACCCAGAGGCACAGAGAGACCAGGGAGAGCGCAGTCTCCATTCACACCCAGCTCCCCTGGGGATGCCCCAGTCCTGAATGGGTTAAATCCCTAATTTACACGAATGTAAATCCTGAGTCACATGATTGTGTGGAACCAAAAAACTAGACTGGGCCAGACAGCCCATACCCCTTTCCTGCTGTGTGGCTCTGATCAAGTTGCTTAGCCCCTCTGGGCCTGCTGGCTTCCTCATCTATCAAAAGGGATGATCAGTACCCTGACTTAAAAGACTCGACGAGATATGTTTTCAAAGGGTGGCTGGATGTTTCTCACCTGCTCTAGAGGATACAGTGTTCGTTACATTTATCCAAAAATGACCTCCTCCACCTCAAGGGGGCCCTACCCTAAAGCCCCGGTGACTTACTTGAACATGCTGGGCTTGCACATCCGTTGTGTGCTGGGGTGTGTGTGGCAGGCTGTGTGCCCACACGTCCACCCACCTGTGATCTTGGCTGTGAAGGGGCTCCCCGGAATGTGCTTGTCGTCAAAGCGCACGATGATGCTGTAGTCTCCAGGCGCCGTGGGGAGGTAGGACACGGTGCAGGTGCCATCCTTGTTGTCCTTGCAGGTGATCTCTGCCTTGGACGGGCCCTCCACGGCCAGGGACAGACCCCCTGTGGGTGGAGGAAGGGCTGAGATCAGAGGTCCTGCCCTCACCCCTGCACTGGCTGCCCCCACCCAGCTCCCCTCACCTTCCCCAGCATCCTTGGTGACAATGGTGAAGGTGGCCGGCTTGTTGACCATGCCATGGCTCAGGCCTGGCCCATAGGCACTGACGTGGCGGCTGTTGATGGCATCCACGTAGAACTGCAGGGGGCTCCCTGGGGGTGGTCGGAGAAAGGGGGCTGGGTCAATAGTGAGGACAGGAGCTGCCTGAGCCCACCTCGGCCCCCGTACCTCCCCACAGGCTCCCTGCTGAGCCCTGCATCTCTGCCACAGGGGCCTCCCACCAGGGCACCAGACTTCCCAGGCCTCACATGGTGTCTGCACACAGCAGGTGCTCAATAAAGATTTGTTGAAAGAAGGTAGATGAGGGTGAAGTCACTATGGGCTCCTCTCAGCCCAGCCAAGCCCAGCCTGGCCCCCGACTCACCAGGGATGTGGTTGCCGTCATACTTGATCCCCATCTGATGCAGGCCTTTCTCCGTGGGTGCGTACCTCACCGTGATGGTGCCATCCTTGTTGTCAGTGATGCTGGGCCGGGCGGTCTTCCCAGAGGGCATCCGTACCTCCCCTGCCAGGCAGAGGGTTAAGTGGGAGACCCCAGTTTCTCCTACCCCAACCCCCTCTGCTGTCCCAGGCTCCCAACTCCTGTGTGGTTCTGCTTCTACCCCGGAGGTCAGGCACCAGGAGACAGCCTGGAGCATCAGGATGCACCCTGACCTGGGAGACGGAAAGCTGGCGTCTGAGTTCCAGCTCTGCTCAACTTGCTGTGTGACTCTGGGTAGCTTGCTTCCCTGCTCTGGGCCCCAGCTTTCATCTCTAAAGAAGGAGCTGGGCCTGGACACAGGTGTCCTCCCTTTGAGCCCTCATGCCTCAGGGCCCCGGGGCAGTACCTGTGAGCTCCCCTTTCTGCACAGTGAAGGGGATGACCAGGTTGAAGGGTCTCAGCATGGACTCCATTGGCTCCACGGGCACCACTGGCTCCTCTGTGGCCTGTGGCAGGTGAGAGGGAACCGTCATTGGCTGGGGAAGGCCTGGGGAGCTTGGCCTGAGCCATGACTGAAGTCAGAGAAAATGAGCAAAGAAAAAGATGGTTAATGGTGAAACCAGAGGGCAGTAGAGGCGTGTCAGCTGCAAGAGAAGAGGTGCCGTGCCCAGCTTGGGGATCCGTCTGCCTAGCCTGACTCCCGCCTGCTCCCCCAAGATGACCCCAAAACCATGCCCCAGTCCTGGCCCCTGAAGAAGAGAAGGAAGAAATGAAGGAAGAGGAGGAGGGGGGCGAGGTGTGGCCCGGGTGGGAGGTGGCAGTACCCAGTGTGCAGGGTAGGTACTGGGCCTGTGCAGCTGCAGCAAGTCAGAGGGCTCGTCCACGCGGGGCATGGAGTCACACGCCTGGGAAGCCAGGCGCGGGAGAGCACAGGACGTAGCAAGCTGGTACACACCAGCTCGAGTGACCACGAGCTGACGCAGAGAATGGCCCAGGGACCTGAAATCCCGGGCTGCCCACAGGGCAGGATAGATATCTTGGGTGCTTTACCCTCTGGAGGGCTTCATCGTCCTGCAGGGCCACCCTGGGGAGATGTACAGGGACAGTGGGCCCGAGGGTCAGAAGGAACACGGCAAGTTCCACCAGAGAAAGCTAACCAACCACCAGAGGGGCCAGAAGCAGGGCTGTGCTCACCTCCTGGGTTGGGAGGCTGCAGGGAAAGCAAAGACTTGACTCTGAGGCACTCTGGGTCCCGGATCCATCAGACGTGGGGACAGGTTCTGGGATCCCCTGCTACCACTAAGAGGGCCCAGCCCACCTCCCCAGCCGCCCTAGTCCCACTGTGGCTGCGGAGCTTACCAGCACGTGGAAGGGACTGTTGGGGACGTGCTCGCCTCCAAAGCGGATGGTGATGACGTACTTGCCCGGCTTGGGCGCTGTGTAGTAGATGTCAAAGGTGCCGTCGTGGTTCTCAACCACGTCCACGTCAAGCTCCGCCCCATCCGGCGTGGACACTGTGCACGTCACCTTCCCCTTGCCTGCTGCCTTGGCGTCCACCGTGATCACCGTCTCCTCCCCAATCTGGATGCGGGGCCCCAGGCAGGCACCTGCCACACAGGAATGTCCGGTCAGGGATCCGTGGGCCTGTGCCCAGCCCCCCGCAGTTCCCAGGTCCCCCACCACCTCAGCCCACAGCAGAAAGAGGAGAAGGGGCACTCACCCAGGCCGTGGCCTCCAATGGACACTGGAAATGGAGAAGAGTGTAAGCCACGCAGCGCTCAGGATGGGGGTGGGTGGGGGAGGGGGAGGGGTG